TTTTAATCATTCATGTGCCAATTGCATAGAACCCCAACCTGCAGTCCTACAAAAAAGAAACAAATTTAACTAGTGTCATCCAGTTACTCTTGCAAATAAGGAGAATGATATTCAGGGTCTGTTTGATAACATAAAAAAGTGCTGAATCTGAATTTTTTCAGACATTCAGATGTTTTGAGTGTTTGATAAATGAAAATCTATTTGCTGATCTTGTTAAGCAGTGCTGAACCTGTGTGTATTTTTTTCAGCACAAGAATCCTAACTGAATGCTTAATTCTGATAAGAATCAATAGAATTACTTCAACTACCTTATCTTATCTACCAAATCTACCATTATTTGTTAATTATGTTCAAAATTCTTATCTGATTAAATAACATAATATTCTCTATCTAACGATTTTTAGTTTCTCTTTTATCCTTTTTTTAATGACTTTCACATCTTCTCCATACTCCTCATGTAATATATTTCATCTTTTATATTAATTTGATTTAAAAATAAATATTGTCATTTTCATACCTAACAATTTTAAACTAATTAAATCATAAATTCTATTTCTTTTTTGAATGAAAGGATATAAGGGCAAAATTGTCAAATTAAACTTATTAAGCATTCAGTTATAAATATTTATCAAACAGTATAAATAGGTTTAGCATTAAAATTCAGACATTTATATATTTTTTTCAGTATTTAAAATTCAGCAAATTAATTGTTTCAGTATTCAGATTTCAGAATTCAGACTTCAGAATTCAGATTCAATTTTATCAAACGGAATCTCAATTTTTGCAGAAAAGCCCGGGATTAGAGAAACAGAGAGAAGTCTCCTAATTAATAATAGTACTTTTTCAAGTGTCATGACTGACAAAGTCTATGCCCTTATAGTCTTACTTGGGCTATTGAAATGTCTAATAATTAATCTTTCTTCCACATTCAACGAGGGTCCATTTGTTCCGGTCAAGTCGGCCATAGAATGGTCTCTTTTCAAGCTCTTTAATACTGGTTTAATTTAACGAGTAATACGTACATTTAAAGTTTGACATCTATTTGGGCATTATTTACATAAAAGAATATGGTCATACTATTATACATGTGTTGATGCATGTTTCTCCAGATGGAGGAACAATATAATTCAATCTTAAACTCATGAATTATTTCTAACCAAACACCGGAAGTAACGGAAAATATTTGATCGGTGTAAGAAAACAGGCCTAAGTTTTGTATATAGCCAATACTTTTATACATTGTGAGGCAATTCTTAGGTAAAATTTTGTTTTGATCCGTTGAACTTTAGATGTCATTTCTTATTATACCTTAAACTTCATTTTTTGACACTTCACGCTTTAAAGTATAAAATTCATCCCACTTTATTCCTTAAACTTTATTTCTGGATAGTTCCCCCCCCCCCCCTAAAATGCAGACTACTTTCATTTTAGTTCTAGAATTTTGAGCATCACTTACCTACTTTTCATTAGTTTTGACAATTCTATGGAAAGGAGTTGATATTTGAGGGGATACAGTGTCTAAAAATGAAGTTTATGAATTAAAGTGGATAAATTTCATACTTAAAGGAAGTAAAGTATATAAAATTTAAATTTAAGGACCAAAATAGGAATGTGTTTATAGTGTAAGGGTCCAAAATAAGATTTATAGCCTCATTCTTATGTATTCATGGCAACATTAATTGCATATTTCACTAGCATTTCCACTGTATGAAAGGAAGATGCAAGTTAACGTAACTATCCCAATCCCCACATAGCATGCTTTCGTATAGATAGATAGTAATTATTGTACTTCCAATTTAATTTCAATGTATCTTGATGCCACGAGAAGTATGGATGCCCGTTAATCTAGTTTGAACAAGTCCTTCAAATTACTTTACACACGGATTTCAAAGTCTATAACGTGTTCATAAAGCTTAAAGAAATGAAGAAAAATAAGGCTTGCAAGGTAGAAATATGCGCAACCTTTTTACGTGACAACGTTGTTGATGACATTATTGCACAAATCACTTGACTGTCTCATCTCAGTACCCATCACATTCTCTGTCATTAGTCTGGTTAACTCTATGTTTTTTTCGAAACGTTAGGATCATTTCATTCATTGTAACGAGAAAATTACAAGTGCGAGCAAAGGCTCGAAGAGACTGTACATCAATGCTCAGTAGCACCGAGGAAATTCCTTTCCTTATCCACAAGAATGCCTAAGGCATGAGAACTTAATTTTTTACTTCTTTCTATACTTTGTTCATTAACCAAGCAAAACAAGCACATGCGAAACATCTTCTGCATGTTTAGTATGTCATCTATCAAGGTAGCTAAGCTGCTGTTGGACGGCCTCTTGTACTTTATCTGTCTCAAAAGTTCCTGGTTATGGGAGTGAATCGTGATCCCACTCCAATTCAGCTCTAGAGCTTTGCACAAAACCAGCTTGATGGCCACTGCTTCATTTATGACTTTATCCCCAGGCTTCTCTCTATAAGCGCCCATTCCGCAATCCTGATGTTTGGGTGCATCCTAGCTGTAACTCAATCCCCAGTGAGACCTGGCCATAATGACTTATTGTAGCCACGTCCAGATTAATGGTACCCTCTTCTGCATGATCCTGATGATGCTCTTCTTGGTTGGAAGTTGTTTCTCCTGTGCTCAGACTGGGTTTAATGTTTATGATTTCCACTTGCTCCAGCCATTCCTTTTGAGCTTTCCCAATTGTCCTAGCTGGTGAGCAGCTGCTTATGTTTTCAAATTCCTTCTTATTCCTTTCTTTCCACACTTGCCATAAGATGGTCGCAGTTAGTCCAATATGCTCCATCCCCTTGGCCTCTTCCTTGCCTCTGAGATTTGAGTCCACCAACGTTTGAAGTCTCCTTGTTGGTCTACCACTCCATCTCCAGAATTTCTGTAGTTAACTCCAGAATTTCTCTTCCTCCTTGTAGTCCAATTTTTTGGCATAAGTTTTGCACTTCCAAAGTTGGATATCTTACAACTATGATCAAGCAGTATGCATCTTGAACAAATGCTGCTATGGACTACTCCAACCTGATGAAGCCACGCAAGTCCTCTCGCAATCCCAACTGCTATTTTCACACTCATAGGCCATTCTATGCACTTGACCTTGCCGTTTTGGCAGAAAAGAGGAGATCATGGAGGTTTCCATTCGACATGTATTTATAGGCTAAAAGTCTGCTGTTAATTTCATAGCAGAAGCCTATGAGTGGTACGAAATTGCAATGTCTCATCCTCCCAACAGTCATGAGCTCAGACATAAATTCTTGATCGAAATCATATGAGTTATGGAGTTTCTTGAGCAAGAAACCAACCATTTTGGAGTATTGCCTTGTACATTGTCCCCAATTTCCCCGTTCCAATTATATTCATACAGTGGAAATCATCAGTTGCCTTGCTGAGTTCTTCGAAACTCATTCTTGTACATGTTTTTCCAGTGCCATAATCTATCATTAGAGCAAAAGTATTACTGCAAAATATATACTCCTTAAGGAGCTTCACTTATGCCAAAAAAATTTTGGTTGTAAATATGATCTGAAAAATGGAGAGCACTCATGAAGTGGTAAAAGAAAGAAAACAGTTAGCTGCTTAATCATAACCAAAAAAGAAAACAAAACTAGTTATAGGATGTTCAATTTAATTCATATATACGCCCGTGTAACTTAAAGTTCATTGTCTGTCTATAGTAAAACAAAACTGTGTGCTAGCAAGTTTATACTAAAACTTGAATGAATTAATTGATCAAACCTTTTAAGTTTTACCCACAAAAAAAAAGGAATCTTCTTTCTTGATCAAAGAATATTTTATTTCTTGGAACAGGAGTGCGATAGAATTGGAAATAGTACGGATCTTTCCACAAGCTTATGTACTCAATTTGGTTATAGGGAATGAAGTTACCTTAGAGTCTTGGATTCTCCAATTCGAAGTTAAAAGTCGTGGTCCTTGAGAAGCTGCAGTCTCTTGTTTTTTCGCATTCTTGCTCTTTAGTTTTCTTGCACTCAGGATAGGCACAATAAACAAGTTAAGAACTAGAGCCAAGATGGTAGAAAGCACCCATCCAACCACAAAACCACTTGTGAAGAGGATTTTGTCATGTTTCTTTGTTTCTGAATTAGACTTACAAGGCTCTAAAGGATCACCACAAAGTCCCAAATTATTTGCACAGCTTTCAGAAAGTATAGTTGCGCTAATAAAATTAGGGACTGGGCCAGATAAAGATTGTTGGAAACATTAAAAGTCTTCAAGCGATCTAATAGGCCAATTTCTGGTCAACCAATTCTACGATGAAGTACTACTCTATCCTGATGAAGCCACGTAATGCCTTTTGCAATCCAATTGCAATTTTTACCACAAACCTCAAAATTAGGATTGAGCAGAAAAGAGAAGATCATTGAGGTTTCCTTTTGACATGAATTTGTAGATCAAAAGTCTGCTGTTAATTTCCAAATTGCGCTGTGTTATTCCCAAGAATCATGAGCTCAGACATAAATTGTTAATCAATTCTGTCAAAATGATGGATTTTCAACCTCAATAGAAAAAAAAAAAGGAAAAGAAAAAAGATAACCAGTTTTTTTTTTTTTTTTGTAACCCGAAACATGCCCGACCCGATCTTTGGATCCAAGCCGGCATACCAAACCGGAGGGAAGCCGACAGCCCCATACAGTTTATCCGGCGAGTCAGGATGCGATGCACGGGCACAAATCGAACCCTGGTCAATGGGAAGCCAGCAACACAAGGCCGACCCCTCAACCGCTGCGTCATACGCCCTGAGGGCAAACCGAGTTTCTTGATGGCAAAAAACCAATCATTTTGCGGTGTACCTTCGTACATTGTCCCTATTTTCCAAGTCCCAATTCAGCAAATAGACACATGTTTGAAAAGAAATACCACACAACCATCACTAAATTCACCAAAACGAAATTACACAAAATATACCAACAGCAAAATATCCGAATAACCTTTGTGCTGCACAGTGTACGAACCTCATTCATTGTTTCCAATTTTCAACTTTTACCTCCATCTTCCACAAAACACCAAAGAAAGCCAGACCGCATAGATGACCAACTACAATCTCAAGTGGAAAAACTCCCTGATGATATCATTAAGAAAAAATAGAGCAATGATTAGTTGTTTGCTCATCAATATCATTAAAAGAGAAAAAAAAAAGCAAGAATTATTTGTTTGTTCATCAATTTCAATGTGCTCGTGCATGCAGTATAGGCAACTGAAGTACAAAAAAGCCACCGAAAGGTACATATAAATTAAACTCCTTAAATGAAAAAAGCATGTTTATTTCTACAAGCCAATTAATGGTAACGACAAAAAAAATTACCAGATATTGCAACCAGCTTGATGCCCTTCAACCTATGATGATGACCTTCAGATTCTCATTTCCATAATTTTTCTGTGCTTCTTCAATTTTCCGTACTAAAGAGTCAACACCATCTCTGCAAAATCTGACCTTAATTGTTTGCAAGAGTAGATATACGCCCTAAACAAGCAGGCACCATTTCCAAATTAGAATTTTTGAGGAGTTTTAATTGCTGAAGGCACGGGAAGTAATCATCACTGTGAGGGTCTGTCTCTGTCCACTCCACAAAGTCTAATTCAGACAAAGTCAAGACCCTGAGTTTAGGGAATCCTCCTTCCATCAGCTCCCATTTTTGGCCCTCCATTGACTGAACTCTTAATTTGAGGACTTCAAGATTGGGTAGTTGTTCAATCAATGACATTTTCCTACAGGGAAGGCCCAGGAAGGAAAGACACAACTTTTTCAAATTCATGGGAAAAGAAAGCTCGACATGTTCTCGTGAACCTGAGAAGTTGAAGCTCCCCAAGGTGAGTGATTCTAGGCATTCTAGCTGACTCATGTTGCGGCATGCTCTATTTAGTGCATTTAGTGCCAAACAGAAAATTTTAAGTCGGCGAACGTTGGGAATCCTTCTCAATATGTTCTCTCCCCCTTGATCAAAATAAATACACAGAGTAGAGAGTGTGTCTAAATTGGAGAGGTTTTCAACAACATTATTGTCATTGGAAGAAAGACCAATAGCAACGTCACCCCTTACATAGACATGCCTCAAATTCTTCATGTTCCAGATGCTATCTGGCAATGAAACCGTCATGCAAGAATTTAGAATGAAGGTTTCCAAATGTGAGAGCTTGGCTATAGATGGTGGAATGAATTCCATGGTCCGACCTTTAAGGGCTAAGTACCTCAAACAAAGAAGTGATTCGACTTCAGTTGGAAGCTCCTTCAGCCTCAGGTTAATGTCCTCTAAATTCAAAACTTCAAGATGTTTGTAGATGCAAAAAAGGAATGAGATGTTACGCAACTCAAACTCATCTCCTGGAGTAGCATCAAAGAATAGCAGAGTACCTAAATGTGGACAAAATAGCTTTGACTTTATAAAATCTTCTCCACTGGAGCAAATGGACAATCGATGTAGGTAGGGAGGTACATTAAAGGTAGAAAGCTCATCATATCCTCGCAGGACCTGAAGAAAATTCTTTGCCTTTGCCTCTGTCTTACAGAACTCAAATATCAAATCGTGAATGTAACAAGTTTTGACTCCACCAATGGACCTGCTTTCACTTGCCATAACTAAATTTCGACCAATTAGGTCCATCAGATATTCTTCTGCAGTGTCCTCTGACCTCTTTCCTTCAACTTTTTCCACAAAGCCTTCTGCAATCCATAGACGCATCAAATTCTTGGCACCAATTTTTTCATCTTCTCGAAATGCAGCAAAATACAGCAAGCATGCCTTCAAGTGATATGGTAAATGCTCATAACTGAGCTCCAATGACTTCTTGCACTGGTCTGTACCAGACACCATGGTCGAAGTTAAACTTTCAGCAAATTCTTCCCAAACACAAATATCACGCTCTATAGTTGCTAGGACTCCAGCTACAACAACAAGTGCAAGTGGCAATCCCCTGCACTTTTTGGCAATCTCCATTCCCAATCCATGCAATGCTTGAGGACAATCTTCTTTTCCAAATACCTTCTTCTGAAGTAATTCAAAACTTTCTTTCTCACTGAGTGGGCGAAGATAGTGAGGTTCTCCACCATATTGAACCTGTGAAGCTACATTAGAAGATCGACTCGTGAAGATGATTCTACTTCCATTCTTGTCATTCGGGAATGCAATTCCCAGCTCATTCCATAATGTCCCAGACATCATCAAAAACAACTAGAACGATTCTTCTTCAGCCTTTGGAGCTTGTGAAGCAATTCATGTTCATCAAGTTTTTAAGCTCTTTGTCCATCCTGACCGTTTTCCATCGGCACAAAATTTGTATTAACAAGCTTTTCATGTTAAATTCTTGAGAAACAGTGCACCAAAGACGAATGTGGAAGTTACAGATTACTGAACTATCATTGTAAACTTTTTTGGCTAAAGTCGTCTTACCAAGCCCAGCCATTCCCACAATGGGAACAATTTCCACCTGTTCTGGTCCCCACATAAGTCGTTCAATTACTTTTGCTGCCTCATCATCAAGACCAACCATGACTTCATGGGCTATTGGCATTTTACATTTTGATAGCATGCGGCTGGAAGTCTGGCTAACTTCTGGTGCTCTTAAGCTATGAGAGGAATCAGGAAGACTCTCTATAGTACTTGGCCACTGATCTGATCCTTAAAATGCTTGATATGGATGTTGGTATTGGCCAGCATATCACAAAAATCAAGAACCTGGGTGGATTCTGAGAAGCTAACTTCTCCTTCTATCACTCTGCTCAGAGTGGGCGAGAATAGTATAATCCCTACCTCACTAAGGAGAGCTCCAATTTTTTCATTTTGTTCATCCATCATCTCATGATGCTCCCTTAAAATCCTTCTCAAGAATCTCAGTCGTGCATAGAGTATGTGCATTTCATCATTCATAGAATCCATAAAACTTGAACTGTAGCATAACAGCTCCCAGAGACAACTTATAAGAGAATCATTGAAGTTGCTCAGTATCTGCTTATCCTGCATCCTTGGTGTATGTAACGATGCTGAGCAGTATAAAGCTCTAATACTTCCATATAAGTCTCGTAGACATGAAAATCAACAGCTCTGATCTTCTGTTGTTGTTCATATATCTGCATTTCCTCAGCATCATCGCAATAAGAACACATGCAAGAGAGGCCTGCTGCGTTCAAAGCCACCACTTCAAAGTGCGCCAATAGCAAGGCAGGAATATCTGCAGTTCCTCGCATTTTGGCAAAGGGAATGAAGCTTTTCAAGAATGTCAGCTTTGCTTCAAGGGCTTGGACTTGAGCACTCAAAGTAGCAGAAATAGACGATTCACCAAGTGCCCAATCCAACTTCAAGGGCTTCAAATCTGCTAGATTTTGTAGGATGAGGTCTATGAATTCCAACAGTTCATCATCTGTCATACAAGAATTTGATTGAAATGACCTGCTGCTTGCCAAAGCAAAGTAAATTTGGATGATTTCTTGCTTCAGTGATTTGATCTGTTTCTCAAGTTCCCTGAACATGCTATTATAACTACCAATAGTATAGTTCTCAATTTCTGATCTAAGGGAAAGAGAGTGAATATCCTCCTCATATTTGTGAAAGGTATCTTCGATACAAGATAAGAAAGATGGAAGACTCACCTTCTTCACAACATTGTCAGATTGCAAGTACAAATGAACAAGGCTCCACTTTCTTGCACACATAACAAATGTTTTGAGAAATTTCATGTGTTTGATTGCATCGAAAGTAACATCGAAAGGAACGTACGGGTCTCGTAAGCTGTTCAGAAGCAACTCTAGAACAAGCAAGACACGATCGATGCTGCAAGTGGAGGCCATCTCCATCTCTTATGGAGGGATTTTCGTCAGTTTCACTCTCAAATTCTAAGAGAGAAACAAAGCTCACTAACTGCAGAGCTAGCAAAGTATTTCTTTCCTGAAAATTACTACTTCTTTGCTTTTCTTATTTGTTTCTGGTGAGAAGGTGAAGAAGAGTATTGAGATAATCAACTATTCAACAAGGTGGAATTGGCATGAAGGTGGACTCCAGGCAATGATAATCAATTATTCAACTAGGTGGGATTGGAGCTAGGCACCCAAAATCCAAATTTATCTTGAACTAATTACAAATGGAGGAAATTGATAAACAAGATTAGTTGACTCTGTCATCAACATTTTATTAGGGAAATTTGATATTAGGGGTAACATAAAAGTCTATGTTTTAAGACAATAACAGCAGTGGTTAGGAATTAAGGCACTTTGATGATTTTATTGTCCAAAGCAAGAGTGGTCCAGACGGATCAGCTTTATATTGGCTCAATAAAGCAAAAAAGGAAAAACCACTTGCAGACACATTCAAGTGCTTGTGGACCTTTCACAAGTAGCGGGTCCGGTTTCATAGAATTATTGGGAATTATTGTGTTCCATTCCCACAAGATGGGGTCTCGGTTTTTATTGAGCGTCCCTGTTTTTGCAATAATTCCACCATCTTGTCACGAGGCAATCAGTTTAATATTTTTGTTTTTGCTTCAAGCATCCACTGTTTAATATGTTAAACTTTATAATTAGGAAGAAGAGAAAATAAAGAAACATCAAAATATAAATGATCCAAGAGACATCAAAATATAATGAGCCTTCAAGCTAGCTCTCTAATTTTCTTCAATTGTTTTCTTTCTTGAGCAAACCACTAAATTTGATCACTTTCTCTTCTAATTCTCTTGTATTAATAATCATGACCATTGATTTTGGAGATTAATAACCATGACCAACAAAGTAAAAAGTATGAGAAAAAAATTGAGGGCTTCTTCAACCCTAAATTGAGGGAATTACAATAATAAATGTAAACTCTAAGATAATAAATATAAACAGTAAAACGATAACTTGCAAAATTAATGTTACCAATATACAATGGTCAAAGAAAATGATTGGATTAAAGAAGTGAAAATTGCTACTAATTAGTAGTAGTACTTCTTTTCAAGAGTCAGGACTTAAATGCACGCTAATTATTTGTACAAAATTATCTACTTATTTCATAAATACATTTTTCAATCATATTTTTATTTCATATATATCACATCAAAAAAGTGTTTTGGAGTCCACGTGGAGAATTCGATAGATTGGTGAAGACCGGATAGTGTTCTGGTCAAGCATGGCTCGCGGACGATCCCTTTTCTTGTTCTTTAATTCAAGTTTCGGCCTTCAATTAAGGAGCAATGTTTTAGATGGGTGAAGATATCATTCACAATGTGTAACCGATCTCTAGCCTTGTGATTCTTACTTGCTCCATTTTTTATATGTGAGCAACTCTACTCAAGTTTTTGCAGACTCAAATGATACAGTGGGAGAGAATTCGAATTCAAAATTTCTTATTTATACTTTTTCTCTAAACCACCCAATCCATCTATTTCTTCTTGGCCGATTGATATGTCCCATGAATATTTTCATATTCTCTTTTGATTAAATTTAAGGAATAATTTCAAAAACCTTCCCTGAGGTTTCTAACAATTTCAGTGAGATTCCTTGAGATTTTAAAAATTACACTTACCTTCCTTGCCCATTTAAAATGACAATATTAGTCTTACCATTTTAATAAAACTCCATTGTTGGGTATGCATATAGAAAGAATGATATTTATAATTATTTTTTCTTTTTCTTTTCTCTTCTTATTCCTCTTTTTTTCATATTTTACAAGGAAAACTACAGAACTATAAACTATAAATATTGCTTCTAGTCATTATCATTACCAAATGTTGAATTAGTGACCTTTTTTTGACAACTTTGAATCTGGTCTAATTTTTTGTTGATCTTTTTTTTTCTTTGCACCAAAAATAACAGTGTTTTAAAAAGAAACTATCCAAAACTACTACTAAATTATTGATACCTCTAACATTTCAAAAATCTACAAACTCTAAAACAATTATGATAATACTTTCTTCTCCAACCTTCAGGGAATATGTATCCCCAGTAAAGCACTATGTACAGTAGCCTGTCATAGTGATAAAACCATTGCAATAATTGTTTATTAAATAATAAATACATGTATTGAAAATTTGATGCTTTTTCTTTATATTTGATGCTATACATTTTACAATTGTTTTGGAAAGCAATATAAACGATATAAACCAAGGACATTTTAGGATGTTTGTTTAAATTTTTGACCAAGTCTAAGGTTTGATTGCCAAATGTGTCAAATCAAGGGAGATAAATACAAATTTTAAAAGTCCAAGAGAGCTCAGTGAAACTATTGAAAACCTTAGAGGAGGTTTATGAAATTATCCCTACTTATAGTCAACTTTGAAGTGCTACAATCAACATATGGGCAACGAGAATAAACTCCTAACTATGAAAGTACATGATAGGTCATAATTTGTTGTTAAATTTATAATTATTCTCCCCCTGATTTTAGCCAAATATTTTAATCGTCGGATTCTACTTATATTTGGTATTTGTGTTTATTTCAGGAGAAAGAATGAAAAGTGCTTAAAATCAAATTTCAGAGAACTTCTTGATGAGTAGGTGTGCCCACGCCTAACTCCAGCCTTCTTGGCCGGACCTTCGGGATTATGTGCACGTGGAAGGCTTCCTAGAATGAGTGGAATAGCTGGCTTCAAACTAGGAAATCACAAGACTCGTGAGCCGCAGAGGTGTAGATGATAAAAACTCTAATCCTACAAAACGTCGAGGACTTGGAAGCTTACTTTTCTTTTCAGCGGCCAATAGGAACAACGCCAGAATCACGTATGAATTAGACTAGCTTGAGTTTCCTTTTTCTAGCGGTCAGACGTCTTCTTTTAAGAGGACAATTCCTATCTTTTTATTCGGACTCCTTAGCCGGCTTTTGGGAGAGGAGAAAAAAAATGAAAAAGCTTCGGTCAACCTTTTCTCAATTGCTTTGCACGGCTTGTTCTCCATTAACGGAGAACTAAGTTCTTATTTCTCATCAATGGACAACTGAAGATTTGGTTCTGTAATTACTGTGAGATCGAATTTATTTTAATCACTTTCTCATTTATTGGTATTTATATGATTCCTGCTTTTAATTGTTATAGCTCTTGTGTATGATTGATTAGTGCGCAATAATTAATTATTCATATAGGCTATTTTGCTAAATAGGGGTAATTGAATCCGTAATTGTTCGTTACCTCTATCCCAGTAGCAACTGGCGTAATTGGGTTTATGTCAGGGAAACATACGATCTAATTTAAACAAACCCTC